CCGGTTTGCTGCTTGCTGCCTTAGGATAATGTCAAACACTCTCAATGCATCCTGACTGTGGCCATTATCTACCTCTGCTCCCTTGAGGGCAGTAAAAATGGATTTCATTGGAATTTTTGTAGCAAAGCTTAGCTCAACCTTAAAAGTCTTCGACTGACAACTACGCTTTGACCTCTTTCCAATCCCATTCGGACTCCCACTGCCCCCAGAGCTACCAGTTTCTCTGTAACAATAGTAACTGTAAGTTATAAATGAAAGAACACAAGTATTTGGTTGGAATATGAAATGATACATGAACATACAGTTTTGCATATGATCCCTCTAGCACCACAGTGAACTCGAGCTTGTTTTGTGGCAGAGGACCCACGCAGAAAAGACATTTTTCTCCATCATACGCAAACCTTTTATTAGCAAGTTCAGTAGAATAAGTTTGGTAGAGTTTATCCATCAGTTTCCGCCCAATGGCCTTCCCTTCAACAGGCCTGTTATCCTCATAGCAAATTGAAACCTTTAAACCAAAAGCAATAATAAATATAAATATGAAGCCCAAGGGGAGTGGCAGCAAATAAAAGGCAGGTACCAAGAAATAACTCTTTTAAAAAAATACATACACTGTATTGATAGAAAATTAAATCTGGAGCATTAACAGATACACCAAAGTGATTAGTAAGCAAAGGAATGCGTCTCCCTTTGCTTCCTACACCACGTCTACTCATGCTCGTATACGTAGGAGGCATTGTTTTTTCTGGCTTCGTATCAGGAGGTACAGGTGGCATCAGGGGCAAAGGAGAAGCTTCGCTTCTTTTCCCTTCGATGTTAGTAATGTTAATCATCTTTTAAACCAACCAGAAAACCTGGAGCAGCGAACGCACAGGGTTAACAACTTGTAGAGAACATAATGCCCTACACTAAACATACAAGTTGAGATCATCTTAAGAACTTGACAGCGTTATAACGTCTCAATGTGTCTGAAACAAGTCAATAGAAATAAACAGGAGCTAAAACAAAAACAGTCTATAACATTACAAGACGAACAAATTTTAGTGTGTTTCAACGAAATGGAGCTTGGCATCGCTAATAATCGAGCTTCATCAATTGATACTGTTAGACGAACACGACTCTCTACAATGGTATGATATTGTCCACTTTGAGCATAAGCTCTTATGGTTTTGCTTTGGGTTTCCCCAAAAGGCCTCATACCAATGGAGAGTGTATTCTTAGATTATAAACCCACGACCATTCGCTAAATTAACCAATGTGGGACACTTTCATCCAACACCTCCCCTCGAACAAAGTACGCCTCCCCTTAATCGAGGCTCGACTCCTTTGGAGTCTTAGTCATTTTTGACTGCCTTCGAGGAGGCTTGACTCCTTTTTCTTTTTGGAGTCCTTTGTTCGACATTCGAGGATTTGCCAACCTATTGGCACGGCTAAGTTTAGGGCATGGCTCTGATACCAAGTTAGACGAACACGACTCTCCGCAATGGTAAACCAAGCTTCTCCATTGGAATGGTATTTGTTCGAGGAGCCTATCCATGTCTGCTTATCCAGACCTAACAGCCCTAAACTTAGTCGTGCCAATAGATTGGTAAATCCTCAAATGTCGAACAAAGGACTCCAACAGTCAAAAATGACTAAGACTCCAAAGGAGTCGAGCCTCGATTAAGGGGAGGCATGCTTTGTTCGAGGGGAGGTGTTGGATGATGAAAGTCCCACATTGGCTAATTTAGGGAATAATCATTGGTTTATAAGTGAGGAATACTAGCTCTATTGGTATGAGGCATTTTGGGGAAGCCCAAAGCAAAGTCATGAGAGCTTATGCTCAAAGTGGACAATATCATACCATTGTGGAGAGTCGTGTTCGTCTAACTGATACAACAACAAAATAACCATATAATAATCCAAAACATTCAACCAGCAAGGGATATCATGCACATGATCCAACAGCTCGCAAGTCCTGTTGAAAAACAATAGAACTATGCAGCTAAACATCATAGACAAGAAGAATCTAGGAACACAAGACAATCTACTGTAACTCCACAAGCCAAAGAATGAACAAACCAAAAGAAGAAGAAGAAGGACCGTAGTCCTGTATTGCATGAAAATGAAGGAAACATCCGTCGCATTCGGAAACAATGCAGGAAAACACACAGTGAAACAACAGCTAAAAATTCTCAACTCGATCGGAACCGCCAAATACAAAGACCAACGACAAAAGAAAAGCGTCAAAACAAAGTCAAACAAAAAAAAATGAAAAAGGAAGAATGCCATGCCAGTAACAGAGAAGACAGAGGAAGCAAAAATTATAGAAAAAGAAGGAAGAACAGAAACCTCAAGAAAGCGGAGCTCCGTTTAGGGTTTTGAGGGGAGAATTTTGGGGAAGAAGAAGAGCATAATGGTTGTTCTTCTGTAGTGCGTGTAGTGGCTTCAAGGTAGACGAAGCGCGCGCGAGGGAAAGGAAAACAGTGTGCGTTTATTTTGGAAGGAAATTTTTTATTAGCTTCTTCGGTTTTATATTTTCTCCAACGCTGTGAGATGGAGGAGGAATACGTTACTGCCACAACTAAATTATTCGTTAAATCGAGTAGAAAGGTCCATATATACTTAAGTCAATTGGGCCTACGGCCCACATAAGCCCAGGTTGAAAGCCCACACCATACCTATGAAAAAATTATATCCATAAAAATAGGTTTTATTTATATACTCGTGTTTTCCATTTAATTAGCCAATTTAGATAGTCCTATTGAACAATTCATCTCTACACTTATTTCTGAAGTGTGGTAAAGTAAGAGATAATTATTATTATTCAATGAAATAAATAAATAAATAAATAAAATTGAACTGTAATTTGACACGTAGCAGAGAATGTGAGAATCAAAATGTGAGTGGTGAGTGAAAAGATCATGTGCAACATCACGTGCTGAGGTTCCTTTGTGTTGCGTATTGCCAAATCAATAAAACAAAACAAATGGTGAATACACGACCCATGTGTGACATCCCAAGCCATGCATTTGAAATGCATGAACATGTTCCATCTTATATTAAAAATATTTCAATCATTTTGGTTCGGTAGTTTATAAATTTCATTCTAGTCTTTTCAAATTATCTTTTTTTTAGGTAAATTTACTCCAATTTACCTAAATTCGTAATTTTTCGAAATTAAAGGGTGGGAGGGGGCACAAAAGGTTAGTGCTGCCCACTTGGAAGGCTTGGTTTAGGCTTTTTTTAGTGACGTGTCAACTGGGCATTGGAGGGCACCTTCCTAACCACTTGTTTAGGTGTCAGCCCACTAGCGAGCACGTGGCCCCATTAGCAACAGATAAATATATATATATTGAAAATTAAAACTATAGGCTAATAATTGAATTAATTTAAATTATTAACTTTTTAAAAGTAAGACGAATTAAACTCCGTAAATTAATTTAAACCATTTATTGATACTATCTTTGAGAACTATCAACGTCGACTTACTTAAATTCAAAATTAATAAAAGGGTTGATTTTCAAATAAAATCCCGACCAAAAATTTAAATTAATTTACTGATAAAATTAAATATCAAACTATATAATCGTATTATTGACTTAATAAAATTAAAACAATAATAGTATGATACAACTAATCTCATCATTAAAGGCAAAACATGATAGTAAACCCCACCATAGAAAAAAAAAAGTATTTTCTACACATTATTTCCTAAATAAACAAATTAAATTGTTATTATCTAATATTATAATTAATAGTCAAGTTTATCATTTATTGTTTTATTTATAAGCCAAACCTTCAATAGTTATTAAGTCGTAATCAATAAATTATTAGATAATAATTGAACTATATTTATTCAAAAATAATTCACAATAATAACATACAAAAACTAAATATTTTTTTTATAGACAATCAATAGAAATTAATGGTTTAGGTAAATACTATATTACATTAATATATATATATAAAGCTAAAGTTGTTTGTAAATACCATTTTGCTATAGTTTACTTTTAAAAAATCATAAAAAAAAATTGAAAACTAAATAAAATATTTTCATATAATGTGACTAATTTTTAGAAAAAGATAACTATAATTGAAAGTTGGAAGATAACATGCATGAATTAAAATAAAAAAGAAATCAACTTTAATAATTTGATACGTTAATTATTCGACTTGTATAATTAATATACGTTCAAGTTCGAAGGATGATCAAACCCTAATAAACATAATTATTGAACTTATGATATTAATTTCTCTTAAATTATTATTGGTTATTCAAAATTTAATCAGTCCTATGACTAATAAAATTTGGTAGTAATAAATTTAATTTAAGTTTTACAATTTGAATACATGTCATTAATTTTACTGGGGAATTATTTTTACCCACTAAAAAACTCGGTTAATTTGAAAATATTAATTTTAGATTCTCCAATAATAAATAAAAGAAATACTGAAACTTTTTAAATAACAAAATCCAATAAAAACTAACATTCTCATAAAATTTAAATATCAAACAATTTACGTATCAAATTCATCCTTAAAATCAGTTATAAATGCTAAATATTCTCAGTTAAAAAAATTAGAGTAGGGTAAGATGTATTGTAACCATATTTTGATTTGACAAAAAAAGAGGTCAACCCAAACTAAATTTTTGAACAGAAAAAATAAAATCTAACTCACTCAACTTTTACTGTTTGAATTGAACCGTTTGAATTGAAGGAATGAAATTAATTAAATTATGAGATCATATGTACAATTTTTTTACCATCATTTTAATTCTATTAATTTTAATAATATAATGTATGATTAAATTCAGTTTCTACTTATTATATATATATATATATATATATATATATATATTTTAATTACTATATAAAATGAATCTCGATAGTTAAAGTGCACATTAAAACTGCAGAGCTATGATCGGATAAGAGGGGGGAAAAGGAACGATGGAGGGCATTCTGGTACTTTCCGGGATTACTTCGTGTAGCTCTTATCCAAAATAAATGATAATAATAATAATAAACCAAAGCAAGAAAACGGACCCAAGCGAATCTCGCAGAGCAGAGAGGAGGAGGAAGAAGAAGGAAGACTGAATCGGGAAACCGTTAGAGGAAAGAGCAAGAGATCTCTCTCACAGAGATGGAGCGCCGGCAGCGGCGGTAACAGTTCTTTCAGTGGAGGTGGTAGCTTAAATAATCAAGAACCTGCGAAGACTCCTCTGCATTTTGTCTACTATCTTCGAAAACCTCTTGCAACATCCTCTTGATTTGGTTTCCTTTTTACCTAAACATTCCGTCCTCTTCATTATTCATCCATGCGGCGAGGCAGAGATATGGATCCACTGATGGCGGCAGAAACAGTCCAAGGACCTGGTAAAGAAGTGCGATTCAGAGGCGTCCGGAAGCGTCCATGGGGACGATACGCCGCCGAGATTAGAGATCCCTGGAAGAAGACTCGAGTTTGGCTCGGCACCTTCGATACGGCGGAGGATGCTGCCAGAGCTTACGACGAGGCTGCTCTCTCTCTCCGGGGACCGAAGGCGAAAACGAACTTCCCGTTGCATCCATCCACTATCTCTGTTCATCAGAAAATTCCGTTCTCGCAGGAGTTTCATGATTCCACCGGACTCTGCAAGATTAGTGACTTTCCAGTCAATAGACCTACATCGAGTAGCCTGAGCTCCACCGTGGAGTCTTTTAGCGGGCCGCGGGTTTCGATTCCAGCTCCATCGGTTCCGAAAATCTGCCGGCAGTCCCTGCCGCTGGTCTCGCCCGACGATTGCCATAGCGACTGTGATTCGTCGTCCTCGGTTGTTGATGATAGTGAGGAATATGCTCACACATCGTCAATTCGCAGAGTTTTGCCGTTCGATCTGAATCTACCTCCTCCACTGCCGCTGCTGCACGACGTCGATTTATCCGGTGATGATCTTCATGCTACTGCCCTGTGTTTTTTATAATATTCTGCTTCTCAATTACAATACCAAATGGTTTATTCTTATCCCACGCATTTCCGTTATCTATCTAATTTTCCTATCGATTGAGCAGAACTTAAATGGAAACTGTCTCAACATGCTTATTGAATGAGAAAAAGTTGCTTCTCTACTCCTTAATTTCGTAGTTCATGGTGTAGATTAGTATCTGAATTTTACCAACACAAGGCCTCTGAATCTTGGCTGTATCTCTTTGTTGTTAAAGAAAAGGGAAGAAATCCATGGATATTGCAAAGGTTCTGCACGTTAATCTGATGATCTCGTTAACCATGTCAAATAACTGATCTCTTAATCTCTTCAATCCCATTCATCTTGTTCTTGAAGTGCATCTCACTTCACCATGTTCAATCAATTCAAAGGAAACAATAGCGTGATTCAGTCTTCACAGTATTAGCATTAGGATTCATGTTCATCTCTATTTGGGAATTCTACAGAAATCAAGTTTCTCTCAAATCAAACCCCCTTGGATTCTCTTGTTCTATGACATTTCTATAGTTCCCTCATCTTTCTCTCTCACCCGAGTTTTCTCCATGGGGTTATTGCTTCTCGTACACATAATTATGATATTCGTCGTCAACTTTTTTCCTTCTTTGCAAATGTTAGATGCATTAATTCATCCTTTCATATTCAATCTTCACCATAAATCATATGTCGTGTTGGGCATGCTACCACTGATGGAACTGGATTCAAATACTCACAAATTTTCAGATTTCTTGAAAAAAGTATTATCAGAATTCAGATGCAAGCTGGTTTAGTGGATTTTGAGTCCAATTCAATCTGTTCTATAGATGGGGTTGCTCAGAGCTAAAGCCGCCCAAAAAGCAGGAGAATATGGTACTTTAGCTTATCGTGTTTTTGTTCACCTTTTGAATTTGGGTTGGAAAATTATTCCATGTTGACTGTTTTTTGAGCGTTTAGATTTTAGTTTCTTCCCATTCTCAAAATTGCTTCTTAAATCCTCATCTTATCAATTCTGTTTTGGAAGGATTATGGTCCTTCATGACCAAAGTCTAGAATAGATGGATTCGTGATTACGCTTAGAAATTTATTTGACTATTTTAGAATCGTTTCCATGATCACTTTTTCTTGTAATAATTAAAATACTTCCGCTTCTGAAATTCAAAATTCAAATTGGATCATATTGCCTTTTATAAAGCAAGCATCTAGGGGAAGAAAATATCATTATCCTTTTTAGCTAAAGAAAATATGATTTAATTTATTTATTGTCTCTCTTAATTAGGTTGGTTGGTTGGTTTGTAATTAAAATAGAATATTAAGTAGGTTTAAACATTTAAATCATAATTGACATATATTTCTTCATTTGAGATAGAAGGCCAACTTGTCAACTTTCTTCTATTGCTATTTGCTAGTTTGTAATTTAATATCAATAAATGTATTTTAATTATAGAGCAAATTAAACAAAATTGTGTGCTGAAAAGATGTGTGTTTAATTTTAAATAGTTTTTATACAATAATATTTTAAAGAAAATTCATTTTTGAAAAACACTCTTCTTTTGAGGTGGTGTTCTATATATTATCACTTATTTTTTAAAATAATAATTTTAATTTATCCTTTGGACTTTAAACTTTTTAATTAAGAATACTAATATAAATTAGTTGAGTTAAACTCTTATTGGGGATTCATGGGATAAGCAAATCCAATCAAGTTCTTGGACTAGCTTCTATATATATTTAACTTTATACTAATATAAAACACATAGTACAAGCTTATTCTATTTGATACATAGAACTATGCTAGAGGGGTGGTCATGAGAATAACAAAATGTTTTTGAAATCTTATTCAACAAGAGAATTATTTTGTCAAACGATAGACAACATATCTTGAAATTTGATCGAAGCTTGATATATCACGCAAATTATGGATCAAATACGACTTTTCAAAAGAAAAGTTTCTATCGTTTGAACAAATTCATCATTTTGTGTGAACAAGTTTCAAAACCTCCAAAATTTTAAAATTGATAAATGAGTAATTAAAGAAATTGTGAAAGTACGTTCTTGACCACATACCCAGAGACGATTTGGTTGGTTTTTTGAGTTGGATGAAATGAGTCCCAAAATATGTACTTGTTTGCATCTGTGCAAGTGAATAAGCTGTTCCGATTGCAAGCATAGCCCATCTCAAATATCCCCGTTGCACAGCATGCTGTCGATGTCACATCAAAACCTATCATGAAGAAAGAAAACTTGATAATTTAGGAACAAACCGTTTTTTCTCGTAACCTATCAATTTAAGTTTATTACCGTAAAGAGAGGGTTTTTTGATCGCTTGCAAGAGAACGTAGTACGGGTTCGAAAACACCAACTCGATGTCGGGAAGGTCTTTGTTGAGTTTCACAGTCAAAGCCTCGAGTTTCTTGTTGAAATCCACAGCCAGGTTGTTGTAACTCTCCATACAGTCATTGCTTCCAAAAACGTTTCTTGTTCTTTCCAACGGCAAGCACCCCATCGGCGGTAGCCCGCCGAGGGAGATTTTCCGAGCGCCAAGGCCGTGGAGCTTCTCAATAAACCCGCCCGCGATTCCGATGAGAAAATCCTGGTACTGTTGAATGTTGTATTGGGATGAACGGCCTGGCATTGTGTAGTAATTCTCCAAGAAATCATTGGTTCCTAAGCTCATCACATATAGAGCTTCTTTCATTGTTTCGTTTGCTGTGGCTGAGCCTTGATATGCTATCAGCTTTGCTTGATACTCCTTGTAGTACTCAAGCTGCTTCCATAATGGTATCACTGACTGCATTTATCAAAAACTACGATACATCGTTAATCTTTCAGAAGCTATTACAATATTTGATCAAAAGTCGAATTCAGACAAATATTTTAGTCATTGTCACATCATGTTAGATCGATGCTACAATATTTAAAAAGAACAAAAATATCATACCAAAACGTCAGAAGTGGCATTGTCATAGCCAGTTCCAGCAGAAGCAAAAGTGACACCAGAGGCAAAATCCGAGATGTTATAAGCAGGATCCAAGTAAGCGGGCACCGTCGGCTTCAGCCCGAAAGCCTCAGAAATGAAGTCGGTCGGAATTCTCCCATTGGAAAATCTTCCGGTTGCCTTCCCACCAACAAAATCCCGACCATACGGCAAGAAGTTGCTTCTTGCAATGGTGGGAATGAAGTTGTTATTTCCAGCATCGACCGATGAGTCACCGAAGACGATGACCGCCGAAACCTTTGCTTCGGTTATCGTCCTCGGAGACGAAAGGAGGAGGGACACAAGAAGAAGAAGACATAAGAAAGCCATGTAAGGCATAACTTTGGTTGTGATTTTTGGTGGATCAAAAAGCAGGGTGTTGTTGAAAGAGAAGAGGAGAGCTATGGGGTGAATAAATATTGTTGTTGGGTTTGGAGGGGAAATAAATGAGAGTTTGAACTCAAACTATTAAGTGTGGAGAAGTTGTTGGGGGCAGTTTTAATTTTTTGCTAACAAACATTAAATGGAAACCGCACTCAACCTAACCATGGCTCGGTTCGGTTCCTCGAGTTACACTATAAGTTTAGCTTATAAATTAGGGTTTTCAAATAATCAACCTTGGAAGTTCGAAAAAGTTTAAAGCTAAAATTTAGACGAGAATTATAAAGAAGTTTTTGGAGCAATTTACCTGGTGATGTTAAGGGCCTCTACGACAACAATAGCAAACTTAAATCAAGTGTCATTTTTCAGATCTCCGACTAAAAAGACGACAATCTCGAATTTTAGGGACAAAAAATCGTTTTTTGTTCCTAAATTTTTATTGTTGTACCAAAGTGGGTGAGTCATTATTAACTTTAAATCATAAGATTCATCGATTCGACGTTATTATGTTCTTATATACACTGCAAAATAATACTACAAACACTATTTTTTCGACAAAAACTAGTTGGCTCGTGACATTAATTAACACACGTAATTAAATTAAAACATTTTTTTTTTTTAAGGGTTGAAATTAAAACTGACAAAGACATAACAAAAAAAAAATAATAAAAATAAAAATAATAAATAATAAATGATTTTGTAGGAAAATGAGGCCCAGAAAAAGGATGATTAATGAAGTTGGCACATGTTAACTCTCCTTCCCAACTACCTCAGCCTCATACGACACGTCGTAAAGAACAAAAGAGGAAATGTGGGGGGGTTAATTTATTGATGTGGTTGGATTGGAACCGCCCATGAAAACGACAATATCATGAGTGTCGGATGTGAACAGAAAAGGAGGTGGAGATGGGCTTCCTTTATTACACCCTCTTTATACCACATACTATACTATATATTAATTTATATATATTATATATATATATAAATATTGTATTTACGTATATATAAATATTTTCAAAAATAAGATTAAAATACATTTTTATTAATTTATTAATAAATAAAATTGGTAAATGGGCCTTGGGGAATATCTAGGGGACCATTGGGCCTGGATCTTCCCCAACGTTTAGGGCAGGGGGCCTTCGCAGAGGGATCGTAGCTTTTATTATTGGCCTACAATTTACGGCCATTTAATTTAATGAGTGTTCTATTATTATTCAATTTTTTTGGAATATTTTAAAAACTGAATTAAATGCAAACTAGCTTCAAATATTTTCCTAAAATTTTTAAAATTTATAACGATTCTAAAGTTATGATTTAAGTCGAAAATAATATGTAGTGCATTGTGAGTAGAACTTACGACGATGTCAGCGGAGGCGGATCAGGTACGAAGCTAGGCGGAGCTCGACCATGAGAGAACCTTCTGGTGGGTCGTCGGTGGGGGGGAGTCGCGTGTGCATAGGACTTAGAGTCCACAAACGAGTCTCCAACGACAATAAGGGGTGGAAGGTTAGAGCTCCAACTTTGGCTGCCAATGTGAAGATGAGAAGAAGAATAAGTAAGGAGATCTAAGAGAGAAAGGCATGCATTTTGGTGGGAATTTAATGAACATTTCGATGGGGTTGGTCCAACAAATCTTCTTACAAAATTAAAACAAATACCAACTTTATATTACTTTTGGATTTAAACCAAGACACGATCAATTATATTTCAACTCCACTCAAATCTCCGATCTATAGAGCTTAAATAGATTTCTTCCCATTAGCTAAATAAAGTTGGGTTAGGTAAATGAGGTTGGGACGAGATTAAAGATTTAAAGATTTCTCTCCTGGATTTCTCTCCGGGTTGGAACAAGATCCCTAAATGAGGTCGGGATGAGATGGATGAGATTATAACTCCAATCTCGGACTCATAGGGCTCAGCCTTGCCCCACTCCAATCTCCGGCCTCAACCCACCACGCCACTCAAATCTGCATATTCCAGGTTCCTCCAATAATGTAGGAAAGGAGTTACCTAAAAATGAGAGTAAATGAGTCGAATTTTAGGCCTAAAGACCACTTCTTAAACACACCCATAATAGCAAATCAATGAAATAAGAAAAATTAGAAGAAAAAATAAAAGAAACAAGTGTTTATAAATCTCATCTCCTATTTGAAATCCCCATCTTAGAACCCATTTAAGACGAAACAGAGGGGAAAATGATGATGGGAATTTCGAAAGGGCTGTCATTTATCTTCATTTCCTTACTATTCATCAAACTCGCCCACGCCGATCCCCACCACTTCGGCATCCACGCCATCGGCCACGCCGTCGAACCATTCTGTCCGGGCGGCTACTCCGACAGAGGGGACCACTGCAACCACATCGGCCGCATCACCTCCGTGAACTACGGCGAGGATGACGACGACGACGATTTTGACGACACGTACAAAGTATTGGGCAAGCTTTCGATGGCGATGTCGGTGTCGGAGTCGACGGAGGACGCTGAAAAACAGGCGGTGGGCTTAGGGCTCGAGGACATTTCACCTGAAGAACAGTTATCCAATAAAGTCACCGTCTTGGGGCATTGATTTATTATTGTTTAAACTTCATTAATTATTTCCATAATTACCTTCGTTTTTATTTACTTCTAATGCCATGTACGATTTATTATTGCTACAAAGGTTGCAAATTTATTACCGAATTAATTGGAGTAACCTATATAAATCTTTCTTCTTTTTACATGAAAATAAAAGTCCTTATTAAATTTTTATTCTGTCCTGACTATGCTCTTAGATAGATGATTCTTTCAGCAGTTAGTACCGCATTTGGCTATCTAGCGTTTACCATAAACCCTTAATCATGATGTTTCTGTATCATTTACCCATGCCGAGAGGCGAGAGCATTGTGTTCTGCAAGAAAAATTTGAGGTTTGTGATAAAAATGGAAGCTTTGGACCAAGGAAAAGGCAAAAGAAAAACAGTCCCAAACATGGCGCAATAAAAGTAGGGAAGGCGTGCAAAGCTTTAGGGGAAAAAGACGACATTGTGTATGGCTGCAAATGAAAGAACAATCTCAGAAACCAAACCATGGAACAGAACAGAGCATAAACGAACAAAACAGAACAGCACAGAGTTGAGCTGAGCTGAACTAGTTACAAAAGAAATTGTCTGTAGATTCTGATAAAGTACTTCAAACAACAGTTGTGAGTCAAACGAATAACATTGTAACGTACCCATCATAGCAAAAAGACAACAACAAAACAATCACCTGAAATGAAAGGGAAACAGAGAGAGACAGAGAGAATAGATGAAGCTGCTGATATATTTATGACATCGTATATGATTAGTAATGAGTCAACAATATCTCACTGATCTTGCACGTACAAACCCATTATACAAACCCAAAGTTTCCCACTATTCTTTTCTTCACCCCTCAAATTCAGCAAGGCTCAGCTCAACTGACAACACAAACTTGCTTTGCAGTTTTTTTTTTTCTTTTTTTAAAAGAAAAACCTAAAAGGATGGATCTTGCAAAACTACTAAGATGGTTGATTTGAGAGTTTTAAGCATTACCCATTTGGATGTGGCTGCTGGTTGATCCGTGGATTAGCGGTGAAACTGTTTTGAGTCTGCCCAGCGCCAAACGTAAACTCGTGGGATGGTACATCTACGGTTGGGTGGGTAAAGATCGAAGTTGCAGCCATGGTGTTGAATAGTGTTGTAGGAACTGGGTCGCTGGTCTTTGGGAAGTTGAAGCCAAAAGAAGGCAGACCAACAGGAGAGAAGACTGGATGGGTTGGAAGGGTGTTTTGGGATGATCCAAAAACCTTCTGCTCATACTCTTGCAGCTGCTGATAGATAGCTATTTTAACACACCAACAATGTTACTCAGACTATATTCTTTGCTGATGAAAACATTCCCAAATAGAACAGACAGACATTACAATGCAAAGCAACGTCAAAGCTGAATTATACAGCCCAAATCTACCACTAGCAGATATTGTAATCTTTGGGTTTTTCCTTCCCGGCTTGCCCTCAAAGTTTTTAAAACGTGTATGCTAGGGAGAGATTTTCACATCCTTGTAAGAAATACTTCATCCATCTCTCCAACCAATGTGGGATCTCATAATCCACCCCCCTTGAGGGCCCAGCGTCCTCGCTGGCACACCGCTAAGTGTCTGGCTCTGATACCATTTGTAACGGCTCAAGCCCACTTCTAGCAGATATTGTCCTTTTTGGGGTTTTCTCCCGGACTTTCCCTCACGGTTTTAAATCGCGTCTATTAGGGAGAGGTTTTCACACCTTTATAAGGAATGTTTCGTTCCTCTCTCTAACTAACGTGGGATCTCACAGAATAACACAAGTCGATGCAGTACAGGCCTCTGTGATAAACAAACCTAAATAAATGGTTATACTATTTGTTTCTCCCAATCCATATGTAAGAACATCCATACGAATAATGTGTCGTATACATACATTCAGTTAAGTCGACGGATGGCCTCCGCTCTTTAACCCACCGATAACTCTGAGCAAGTCTCCAACCTTTGCATTTCATCAAGAATGCTATTACAATAGCTGGAGACCTGTGATCAATCAGTGTAATCTATAAGAGAGGATAGTTATGCAGATCCTAAACTTATGTCGTCTGGGTACATATACCATTGCAGAGTTCCAGTTTATCTAAGAATAAGTTCAAACCTGTTTTTTCCTGACATGCAGTGCACCAGAACACGAGCCTTGTCTCTTTCACATTGCTCTGCAAGTCACAAGCAACACCGGGCACGATAGACTTCTCGAATCAGTGAATTATACAAGCCTAACGACATGTTTTTAACCAAAAGCCTTTTTTTTTTTCAGTAAACGAGTAATATAATATTGCATTAAGCAAAAACCTATAAGACAGCTGTAACAGTTCAAGCCTAAGCCCACGCCCACGCCCACCTCTCCTATTTGAGTTTTCCCTTTCAGATTTCGCTTCAAGGTTTTAAAACGCATCTACTGGGGATAGGTTTCCACACCCTTATAAAGAATGATGCTTCATTCCCCTCTCCAACCAACGTGGGATCTCACTGGCACTCGTTCCTCTCTCCAATCGACGTGGGACCCTCCGATCCACCCCCTTCAGGGCTTAGCCTCCTTGCTAGACATTCGCTCGGTGTCTGGCTCTGATACCATTTATAACAGCCCAAACCCACTGCTAGCAAATATTGTTCTCTTTCCCTTCCGGGATTCTCCTTAAGATTTTAAAACGCGTATGCTAAGGAGAGGTTTCCACACCCTTATAAAGAATGCTTCGTTCCCCTCCCATCTCCAACCGACACGGGATCTCACAAAGCTATAGGATGACTCTTTTCTACCTCCATCTTTTTATACCAAGAAAAGTCACATTTGAATGAAAAACACTACAACACATGGCCTAACCTAACAAATGAATCAGCAGATACAGTTCATTTTGGAGAAGATAAAGAAAACCCACCTAGGAATTCAACAGCATCATCAAAAGGTAAAGTCTTATCATATTGGAGGCAGTGATAAGTGAAGGAGTTCTTGTAGAGATTTTGACAATCAGGCACAGTCTGCAAACAATATTAACATATATATAAAACCTTTGTCATTGCACTGTTGAACTCTATCCAATGCAAACTATCAAAGGAATTTTTTACAGGAACTGTTCCATCCGACCAGAATCGATGCCATACAAGATAATCTATACCATGAAGCTGAAACAGAGGAGAACAGATGAACCAGAACGCCACAGCCCAACAAAAGATCCAATCAGACAAGAACAGTAACAAGCAAACGAATAGATGATTGTCGCTCCAACACTCTCATACCACGCAGATTTTTCTTCATGAAATAGAACAATCTAAAACACTAAAATCTAACGACACAGAGAATGAAGAAATTAAACATACATTAAGAACGCGGGAGATTCCTTGAGTCTTCAAAAGTTCAGAGCGGGAAGCGTTATCGTAGCTTCCCAGATAAAGAAACTCCGGCAAAATCTCTGAAGGAAACGCGGCAAATTGCAACGAAGTTTTCTCCGATGTAGCGGGAACCCGATGGCCACAAATCCCACAAACTTCCCCTTCTTCGTATTTATGATAATGGCCACAAACCCCACAAGGGTTCTCTCTCTCCCTCTTCCTCATAGCCCTAAACCGCGATTGAGCGATGACCCAGATGAGAAAACCTTCTGAATCGCCAAAACAGACACCACGGGCGATGAAACAGAACGCCCCCAAATTAGAATACAATCAGAATCGGACTAAACAAGAAGGGAATCAATCCAAAAACTATACAGAAAAAAAAAATGGGTTCAAGGAAGAGTTCTTAGTGGGGTAAGCGCTTGCTCAGAGAACAGAGAGAGGCGCCGATGCAGAAGGGCGTTACCACGAAGGTTCTTCGATTAGATTGCGTGCGGTGGAGTTTTTGAATTTGGCTGGAGTGGTTTCTGTGCTCTGCTTCTGACAACGTGGGTCTGGTAACGAAAAGCCAAAGGGATCAACAGCTAAAACGCAGGATTTCTTCCAGATTTCTTCAAGATTCCCCAGATGGGTCGTGTTGGACATGTGATAAGTCGATCCAAACTTATAATATCATTCACAGATTTCAATCAATTTACCTGATGTTTCTGATATCTTAATCAATTTAGTAGTTGAGCTAAATTTTAAAACTCACTATTTTAATACAACCATTTAAAGAAATAATGCCATTTAGTCATTATGTTCTTTAAATCACAACAATTTAATATTTACATGATAGTAAAATTGTCTTTTTTGCCTGTGAGGTTATCCAACTTTACGAGTAATGAGTTACCAATCATGTTGTGTACTTGGTTGTCTTGCAGGTGCATTAATATGCAGTTCGGGCTGGGGGACTTTATGTACCGAAAATGCAGCTCGGAAGTAGTAGGTCCAGACACCTAGCATGAAACAGCCTTCTCTGGTGGCGGCACTATACCTGATACTTCTAGTATATATTAAACGGTCCGAAGGATTTGGAGCGAGAAATGGAGTTTAACGTTTAAGGGAGGTTTAATTGGTCTTGGAGGTATATATACGACCTTTCATGAGCCAATGTCACGGTATGCGATGACCCAATCATTTTTGTTGAATCGTTGTGATATTTAACCTTAAACCATTAGCTTTTCTTTCAATTTAATGTTAATACTTAGTAATTTCATAGAATACTACACATGTATTGGTCTAATCTTTAGTCCAAGCAGCAGCCTGCAGGACGCACAGGCAAGTTCCAGATAAAAAAAAAATGGGTACATGAACTTCAATGAATTTTTGTACAAATGTTAAAAAGGAAATAATTTTTTGACCTGCCAAAAAAAAACCCATATTCTGAGAATTAAGTTTACCGCTACTGTTTGTTTAAACTATGTTCGAGTGACTAAGTGAGCCTTCCAAGAAACAGGCCTACTTCGTGGCCAAGCTAACTGCCAGAGTTATCAAGTAATTTCCTAGAGAAGGACCAAAATAAAGAACATTCATCCAAATCAATGGCAAAAGATACCAAGCTCAATGTCTCGTAGTTGTTTAGAACTCAAAAACATAGTAATACAACCTATCAAATCGATCTTGCCCTTCAAGTAAGGTCGTCAATGTCTTGTAGCTCTCCACATCGTAAATCTTTCAAGTGTGACAACAATAAAAAAGAACAAAAATGTTGTTGAGTTGAAGAAAATGGAATAACATCAACCATCACTATAATACAAAGCTTGAGTGGAAGATCCACTCGAAAGGCAGCATTCCTTTGAAACCACATAAACAATAGGAGACACAAATTAGTATGCATTCACTACAAAATTGATTACAACATTTCGAAGCTAAATCCAAGGAGTAGGGCCGCAAGGATACAGGTAATCGTATTTGAATATGGACAGCGACTAGAGCCCCTACAAAAAGATTCCTTTAGTGGCAATAATATGATGCTTCCAGTAAAACTGTTCAAAATTATCGTGCCCCGTAGGGACATCAACCAACCAGATTGGTCTAAGAAACTATTCGATTAACAAAGTCCTGGATAATGATTGATAATAAAGCCTGTGTAAACAAATTTATTCTCAGAAACTAGAATGATAATTGAACATGTAATTTCCTTCGTGCACCATAATATTTGTACAATCCCATGACAATAGAACAGGCTTCTGGGTCCAAACGGCAGCCAAATGCTTATAGATACTTAAAAATATATATATTAAAATAACTGCTTTCAACAGTAATCGAACAATGCCATTTATTATTTTGTATGAACCGGATTGGTGCATGAGTTTCAAATTGAGCAGGTAATTAGTGATCAAATCAGGTCATTAATGCATCAGATGAAAGACCTCTTTACCAAGTAGTAATGGAGAAGATTCATACTATACTAAACAGGGGTGGAGCCCCTTCTTAGATGTCTTGTATTCCGAACGAAATATATATAGAAAATTTAAAACTCTAAAGTTCTATCTAGTTCTCTAAATTTAGAATTCAACGATTTAATATACAAACGATACTCTCTATGAAATTTTTTTATCCACCCTTATCTGACAAGGATGTGTTTATACACAGGAGGCATGCACATGTTGCCATTCACTCCTAAAATGGGATCAACTCAGAGAATATCTTGCAAACATAATACAATTCGATTAACTGTATTTTGCATTTTTTGGGGAACTAAAAGCTGGAAAAGAAATTTGAAAATTGTGTATTCTTTGCACAACATATTATGCAAACAAAAACAATTCAAATATGGGATTACGTAGAGATATGTTTTCACCTAAAACCAAATATAAATTAACTAGCTCATAAGACAGGAACACTTGGCAAAACAAGTTAAGAGAGCTTACTGTAATTGACTAGGATTCGGACAATGTAATTTTGCAATCAACGCTGGCCATCATCCTCATCCATTTCCTCAAGAATTACATATTTGCCAGGAACAGTTGTTGACTGTGCGCTTACCACTTTATCTTCACTAGATTTCTGCTGTAGCTTTAGGTATCTGATGATCAATTGGAGATAAAACGTGATGACTTTACACAATAAGAGCCAATAATTAAATTTTTTACTTGTTTAGTTACAATTTATAAGCTATTGCAATTCGGTGTCTCAATCCTTCGTGTCAATAACTCCAAGTGATGTTTACCATTTCAATTGCCTGGTTTACGACATTGGAACCATTCAATTAAAAAAATATATATCTCCTCTAAAATACGAGTTCATTACATTCCATGTCTCTACACCCAGAAAATTCATGGTCTAAAATACCAGTAGCGAACAATCGTATCACATTGGAAGGATGATTATTAACAAATATTCGATCGTCAGGCGTGCTAAGCACTATATTTAATCTTAGAAGGAGAAATATTTCACGGTTATAAAAATAACAACTTACTTGTACCAATTGAACAGACTGACGCCAATCATAATTATGATGAGACCAATCCCTTTTAGCCAGGTAAATTTATCGTGGAAGTAAAATACTGCAACCTGAAAATGCAATAGTGCATTATTAAATTAGAAGATGAAGATGTCAGCGATCTACAGCCCCGATAATGTCGGATAGAACAATGCTCTTATAGTTGAAATTTTGTATCTTAATACCATGCACTTTAAAATTTTCAACCTTTTGGATGAGAAATGCATTTTATTAAAGGAAAAAAAAAAAAAAAAAAAAAAAAAAAAAAAAAAAAAAAAAAAAAAAAAAAAAAAAAA